AAAAAAAAAATTTTGAATTTACTTACTTGTAGCCGGAGTTAGAGGCGGTCGGATACTTATGACCGCTACTGTAATAACTTTTCTGATCCTGGGTCAATCAAAAAAAACCATTTCGAAATACTTACTTTTATTATCTGACCCTTCAAAAAGGAAAAAAAAAAATAAATTTTTACTTTATATGCTAAATATGATTTTTTTTTTTAACATTAAACGAATCTTTTTTGGAGATTCTTCTCCTTTCTATTGAAAAGTGCCAAAATATTGATGGTACATTTAAAATTTTGTAGAAAGTTGAAAACAATAAATATAATTTGAATCGTCGCTTCATACGCGAAATAATAAATATTTGCAACTTCATCTCAATAAACTTTTTACGTGCATTATTTTTCATAGAGACGATTTATAATTCTAATTTTCATCTAATTGGGCGTACATTTAATTTTTCTTTGTGCAATATAATTTACATTAAACGGATCTATAGAATAGGCGTATCACTTAACAAATATGATGGTTTAATCAATATAGACGCGTTTAAATTGACGAAGCTTTGTTATTGTTTGGGATGAAATCAGGTTGTGAGAATTTAACAAATTGAGATATTATTGCATTTTTAGTTTTGAGGTTATGATTGCTAGGAAAATCAAAAACTTTTTTTATTACATAAAAACAAAAAAAAAACAGAACAATGGGTAAAACACAATAGCAGTTAGGGATGGATCGGTCCTGGTAAGACCGGTCTTAGACCGGTTAATGGGACCGGTCCTTGCGGTCCTCGGTCCATATTCTGAGGACCGGTCCGGACCGGTCTTACGACCGGTCCTTGGACTAACTTATGGACCGGTCCAGTCCAAAGAAATATGAAAGACCGGTCTTTTTGGACCGGACCAGACCAGACTGGACCGATCCAACCCTAAATAGCAGTGACTCTTGCTTATAGCGAGACAAATCAGGTGATTTGTTTCATCTAGTTTTGAGTGCCAATATTTTTTTTTACTACAGTATATATTGTCTAAAAATTCACCCTACTCAATTTTCCCACAAGATCCTTTCGTGAGGATTGCAAATCAAAAACGGCCGAACATGAAAATAGGCAAGTCATTCAAAAAATGATTAATTTTCATTATAATATAAAAGGTTCCCCATTTACCCAATCGTTACGAGCAAGGAATCAGTACTATTATGTAAAATATTATTTATTTTACAAATACTTTAATCAAAATATGTAATTATACTTTAAAGCTATCAAATAAAAAAATTACTTTATAAGGCTAAATATTGAAGGGCTTGGGAAAATCTTGTGATAGTTTCATTTGTTCCATTGTAATGGGGAAATTGTAACGTAAATGGACTTAAATTTATAATCAGTGATTGACAAATCGTCACTCTTTGAATCGTCTTTATAATATAGGCCCAATTGAAACAAAAAAAACAAAAAAATTTTTTTTTCAATAATAACCGAAAAATGGCATTTCCTGATATTACTCTTCATACTTGCTCAACACCCAACGGAGTAAAAATTAGCATTGCTCTTGAAGAATTAGGACTTCCTTATAAAGTGAATTATGTTTCTTTTTGAAAAACGAGAACAAAAGAGCCCCGAGTTTTTGAAAATCAATCCAGCAGGAAAAATTCCTGCTCTCACGGATCATGATTTTAAATATATTTGAAAGTGGCGCTATTTTGATTTATCTTTGTGAAAATTATGATCCTGAAGAGAAATTACTTCCAAAGGATCCCAAGTTAAAAAGTCAAGTTATACAATGGGTACGGTAAAATTTTCTTTTTTTGTTCTCATGAATGAAATCAAAAAAAAAAGGTTTAATCCCTCTTACTCTTTTATTAGATTATGTTCCAAATGGCTGGAGTCGGACCTATGCAAGGAGAAGCTAATTTTTATAACACTTTCTCACCAGAACATGTTCCATATTGCATTGAACGATATACAAAGTAACCAAAAAATATTACATCATATCATCTTAAATGATTTCTTGGAAAAGAAGGAGTATTTAGTTGGAAATAGTATACTTTAGCAGATATTGCAATTTATTCTATGGTTAAGTTCCACCTGATTTGTGGAATTCTAAATCTAGATGATTTACCAAATTTAAAAGCTTGGGTGGCTCGTATTGATGCAAGACCTGCTACTCAGAAAGGCATAGATGTACCTAACGTGGATTGAACATCCTGAAAAGTTGGAAGAATTATCTCAAAAGGTTAAAGCTGTTATTTCTAAACAAAGAGAAGAAGAAGAAAAAAAATAAAAGTTGCGATTCGAATGTCATTATTAAATTCTTATTTGATTATTATTATTTTTTTTTTTCCTTTATCATTTAAATAAAAATCTTAATTGTCTAAATTGTTTGTCATGTCACATTTTGATTACAAAAAAAATTTTCGTGTTTTATTTCATCAAGTTCGCCGTTAATATATCATTCTTCATAAAAGCCATGAAATCACTCTTTTTTTTTTGATTTTATCTTTTACAGACAATAAAAATTTCTCATTTTCTTATCATAATTGCCACATCGCCATTTGCTTTTTTTTATTAGCATAGCAAGCAAATCTTCTATTACTTCCATTTTATCGTTCGCAACTAATAATAAACGTTTCATCCCTTTACCTTTCTTGAACTCTTCCCAATTCTTTGCAACATATTCTAATACGATACCTTTTAAAAATTTATCGTTGGTTTTCCATCCCATCCATAAAATTTGTCCCAATTGCCTTTATTCAAAGATCTAGGCATTTCCTTTGTAATTAAGCACTTTAACTTCGTTAATCCCATCATTTCAGCTAATTTACGAGTTTCATTATGAATGTTAATAAGAAGACAACATTCATTACATCCCTTATACATCAATTTTCCTGTATATATAAAATAAATAACAGCACGAAATGCCATACAAGTAGTATTTCAATTTTTACAACTTTTTCCCTTTCCACTCTCCACCGCTAAAATCACACTATGTGCCTTAACGGGTTTATCACAACCAAAATTAAATTCGATATCCACCAAATCATCATCAAAAGCTTTCTCGGTTTTTTTCGTATAATATCTCATTCCTTTCAATACTTTTATCAGAGTCAATAAACGTAATTTGAATAAAGATATCAGTTGATCTGGATCTATTACTGTCAGGAAAAATTTTGTTAATGAAATAAATTGGTCAAGTCTCCAAGTTGCAGGTGGGTTATTGAAATTGTAATTATGTTTGATTTCAAATGGTGTCTTAATAGCTTCAAGAGAAACTGAATATAATTCTAGATCCTAAATCACCATTCGGATATAAATGTAATTGCCATAAAGTAGGCTTGATCATCATCATGACAATTTTGTGGGATCCAAAATTTTGGACTAGAAAAGGTATCTCCATGAGATATTTTTCTAACATAATCTTGAAAACTTCCAATTTCCCAAATAAACGTCACCCATTATTTTTTTCGTATTTAAAGATAAAAATCAAAAAAAAAAAAGTTAAATTATCAAAATTTATAATCGTTTCCACTAAAGATAATTTAGGTGGCTGTGATCACATGTCTTCGTTTTTGCTATAAATTCAAGGTCATCAGCGATGTTTTTATAAGAAACTTTGCGCCCTGATTATTAATCAAGAAAGTGAGATGTCACGTGACTGAGAATGCATCCATTTGTATGAAAGTTCTCAGCTCAGTCTGTTCTGAACAACCGTGAAAGAATGTTAATATAGTTTTACAAAAAAAGGAACGATGTAAAAAGGTACATTAAGGCAAAGACGTACACTAAGCGATCAATATTGATGAGCGAGCCTCTAAAATAAATTATTTTTTTGGATGGCAAGTCGAGTGGACACAAAAAAGAAGAGAAAGCTTTATGAGAAGGAACAGCTCAAATATTCTAACCTGCTAGATATGAGGCGTAAGAATTTATTATTTCACAAATACTAGATTTCTTGCAATCCTAGTTTCTTATCATTAATAAATATGTATTTTACAAACGTTTCGTAAAAAACGCGGGAAAAATTTCCAAGTCACGTAAATAAACCAATCCTTTTTAATAAATGTACTCTTATTTATTACATAATATCATCATAAAGCACAAATAAATTTTTTATTACGAAAAACAAAAATGGATAATCCTAGAGCAATAAGATTAAGTGTAGGAGCAAACCCGCTTCAGAGTCTCAAGTATTTTTCAAATTTTAGCTTGTAAAGCAGCTCGCTGGATCCAGTACAGATCAATATTGAAATT